TAAAATTAATGGGGCCTGGTTACAGTAACACAAGGGGCTTGAATAATAAATACTTGTTTCGTTATCTGGTTTTTAAAAAGGACAAATGCAGCATAAATACAAATGTTTTCTTTTTACTTGTACTCATAGCATCAAATGTTAAATGTCATTTTCAATCATTTATCTGTTCACTATTATTTGCCAAATATTTTTTTGCAAATTTAACTAACTATACATTTGGGATCATTGGAAAACCTGAGGTTAAATAAGGACAGTTTATTTTATTGCATGACCTTTTCTTCTAAAATTAATGATAATAAAACTGGATAGTGAGAATGTCTTACCGTAATGAATATTGGCTCAAAGAGCAAAAGAGAAGGGTGAAAGACAGAAGTCCTAAAAGCAAATGTTTGAAGAATATTCAAACATTCTACATGCTACATTCATCACTGGCAGTTATTCCCCCTTCAAAAAGGTTTTCAGAATGTATTTCTGCCTTTGAAAAATTTCCATTTTCAAGATCAGAACATTTCAGTTATATTTAAATCTCCAAATAAATTTTCTTGAGTAATCTAGTCAAAGCAAAATATGTAGCTAAATAGTACGACTTTATAAGCATTAAAGTACACTGTGGTTTGTTAAACTAGTTTGATATTATTTTCTAGCAAGTTTTTCAAAGTAACAACTATGGTTCTGTGTGTTAACAATGATGATTTGTGTGAGGAAAAAGGGAAGAAAATGAATAAAACAATGCATACCATTTTGCTGTTTTCATGTGTTAACATTTAAATCAATTTAAAGTGGAAAAATCAGACACGCAAGAAGCACATATAGCAGGCTGAATAGAATCCAATTTTGGCACCTCTTTTCTCGAATTGTTTTTAGAAGAGGGCATTATGGTCCATATCAAGCATGTTCTTCTTTAATCCGTGATTTTTTTTTTTAAATCTAACTTTTTATTGTGAGTGTTTAAAGTGTGAAGGTTTAAAGACAAGCCTCAATTTTACATTCAACAAACGATACACTTTGCTTCATCTCAATGAATATAATCCCTTCCCTGCAACAGCAGTTATCCCACTTCCTCCATGGGTCCTAGTTCCATTCTACCAACATTCCCATCCCTTTTCAACTGTGTCCTTAGGTAAATGTTGTGTTTATACATATATACACACATATACATATACATTTATACTGTTAATGTTATCAAGTGCTGTAAAGTTAGTTCCAACCCGTAGCAACCCTGTGTAGGGTTTCCAAGGAACAGCTGGTGAGCTTGAACCACCACCGACCTTGCGGTTCAAACTGACCTTGCAGTCCAGTGCATTAACCCACAGTGCCACACCAGACTTGGCTGAAAATTGGACTACGAGGGTGATTTCCTTTTCAGACCTTAAGGATGGTTGAAGGCCGTAGTCTCAGTTTCCTCCAGTCTCTTTCTGACCAGTAAGCCATAAACCTGGTCTTTTTAAATATAATTTTGAGGTTTGTTCTACATGTTCTGCCACTCTGCCTGGGACCTTCTAATAGGAATTCTTTCAGAGCAGTTGATCGTGGTAGCTATGCACCATCCAGGTCTTCTGGTATCAGGGTCATGGAGACAGAAGTTCACATGTTCCATTAGTCTATTGGGCTGATTGATTCAAAGCATCTTCAGTTGTCATCACTCTTCTTTTTCCCACACAGAGAGACACCAGTAGTGGCACCTTAGATGGCTTCTCATGAGCTTTTAAGATCCCAGTTGTTACCAAAGTAGGATGTAGAACATTATCCTTATGAACCATGCCAGTGTCCCCTGAGACTATGGTTCTGAGCCCCTAGGCCCAACACCTCATTTCCTTATGATGTTTGATAATATCTTAGAAGTTTTCATGCTTTGTCAAGCATGTTGTTGACCAGCCATTATAACCAACATATCAGAACAAAAAGATCATACCCCTAGCCAGCATTCTGGATACATAGACAAACCACCAAAGGTGTGAGATGATAGCTGTGTTGTATCTAGGAAACTGTGTTGATTTCAGGTTCATATAGTAGTATTAATAGGGAGAGAAATTGTTTTATCAGGAACACTATCTGACTTAATTTTGCAAAGAGCCACCTACTCTTTTATCAGAAAACTAGTTTACAATCTGAAATTAAAGCATGAAAACATGTTTATTGAATATAATCTCTTTTATCAGTCTTTAACTTGGTTTGGTTTATAGATTTATTATGTTATATAGCAAGATCAAAGACTTTTTTATGTTGAGGTATAATCCATATAAATGGATTTGTATGGGTTCTACACCTCAACATAAAGAAAGCAAAAAGTCTTCACAATTGGGCTGGTAAGCACCATCATGATAAGTGGAGACAATATTGAAGTTGTCAAGGATTTAATTTCATTTGTGTAAAAATGGCATGGGAGAAGTGTCTGTCCCTCTCTAATTTCACAAGGGGAAAGAAGACAAAAGATCAACAGCCCAAGGCTGATTCAGATGAGGCCAAGAGTCGGTTATGCTTCCACCCTCCAAACTTTTAACCAAGTCTGGCACCAACTGTCCTTCCCACAGCACTCTGTACTTTCTCTGCTGTTCTCAGTAATTCATTGCAGTAGCCACACAGACAAAATTCAGGATTATAGGTTCATTACAGGTTACCATTCAACTTCAGAAACAACTCAGCAGACAGTTCTTTGATCAGAACAGCCTGTTCACAGTTGTGCCCCACAGCATGCTTCTCTATGGCCCTCACTTAGCTTCTCAGTCTTGCAGCTCGTTGGCCTATGTCCTGCTTAGGCAAATGTTACGGAGCTCTTTGAGCTCTTGTCAATAAGTGTCTAGAGGCACCCCACTCTCACCATAAGTCTGCATCTGAAGGTGCTCCTTGAGTTGGCAAAACTTTCTCTACCAAGTTTCCAGTGGCACCCTGTTCTGCCAGCAAGCTCTGAGTTCTCTCACACTGTGAACTGGGAAGCCCACTGCATCATCTCCTGCTTCTGCTGCCACCATTTCTCTGCTGCTTCTTGGCGTCTCCTGAGTTACATACAACTCAGTGTCCTGGGGTTAGGTTCCTAGTGTGGATATCCTGCATCCAAAAGACAAGTTCTACTCTTCTCTCTCAATATGACTTTTCTCTCTTAAAGGTCTCCCTTTTCTCCTCTGGGATAACTCATGTTAAGCCTAGGGAGATGGCAAAACTGACTAATCCCCTTGGGAAGGTTCCATACACCTTATTTGATAGTCTTATCCAATCATTTAGTGGGAGTTACAAAGACTGTAGCTAGACGGATCATATTAAGTAATTCACTGCACTGCAACTTGGATCTACAATCATGGAAGCAGCTGTCAGGAAATCAAATGATGTATTGCATTGGGCAGATCTGCTACAAAATACTCTTTAAAGTGTTAAGAAGCAAAGATGTCACTGAGGACAAAAGTGCACTGCTTGACCTAAGCCATGCTATTTTCAGTCACTTCATGTGTTTGGGGAAACTAGACAATGAATAAGGAGGACTGGAGAAGAATTAATGCAGGTGAATTATGGTATTGGCAAAGAATATTGAGGGTATGAAAGACAGCCAGAACAAAAAAATCTGTCTTGGAAGAAATACAACCAGAATGCTCCTAAGAAGTGAGGGTGGTAAGACTTCATATCACATACTTTGGACATGTTATCAGAAGAGAGTAATCCCTGGAGAAAGACATCATGCTTGGTAAGGTAGACCCTCAACGAGATAGATCAACATAGTGGCTGCAACAATGGCTCAAACATAACAGTGACTGTGAGGTCACCACAAGACCAGGCTGTGTTGTGTTCTGTTGTACATAGGATCACTGTGAGTTGGAACTGACTTGACTGCACCTAACAACAACATATAACAAGCAAACAAAAAAGATAGTTGAACTATGAGATGGGGAATAAATTCGTCTCTGAGTTTTTTCATAGCTACTCCTTAACTCCCACCAAATGCTCCTTGGAAACTCTATGTAGGGTTACTATGGGTCAGAACCAACTAAATGGTACTTAACAACAGGACTCCTGACTCAGCAATGAACCAATAAAAAAAAAATCTAATAACCTAGTAGCTATTACTGACTTGTCAATGAATGATAGCATGGTTAGACTATTCAGTCTGAAGAAGTTGGTGGAACTCTTCAATTTTATCACCACTGGCTTTATTGATTGGTGTTTAAATTTGAATAATAGTGGTATTAACTGGCCTTCTTTGTTGTTGCTGTTGTTAAATGCTGTCAAGTTAGTTCTGAGTAATAGTGACCCTGTATAGGGTTTCCAAGGAGCTGCTGGTGGGTTGGAAACACCAGTCTTGCAGCTCAAACTGACCTTGCAATCAGCACGTTATTTTACAGCACTATGGGTTAATATGGTGGACTGCAAGTTAGCGGTTCAAGCTCACCAGCCTTCTCTCAGAAACTCTGTACAGGGTTGCTGTGAGTCAGAACTGGCTTACATCTGATATTAACAACAACAACATAGTTTGCCAAACATTAATATTCAGAATGGGAATGAATTATAATGGACTTGTTTTCAATTACTTGCTTGTTCATAGTCCATATGTACCACTGAAATCGGAAACACACATGCACACATACATATATGGAATGAAAAGATAATGGAATTTTCATGTAAACTTTTTTATGCCCCTTTGTTTATGTGTGTGTGTGTGTGTGTGTGTGTGTGTGTGTATTAGTCACATCAAAGACAGGGTTGTAAAATAGGGTAGCTATATATCTCAATAGGAAATAATCAAGATATGAAAACCTAGTTGTTCTTCAGACCTAGAACATTTCTGAGCAATCTGCTGAGAAATAAGTATTCATTAGATGAAGTTGAGGAAAGGCCACAGATCTCAACATACACACTTTCAGTAATAAGGAAATCACAAAATATGTAATTTACAACAATATAAAGAAAATATTTTCTTATTCCGTTTCTCAACGTCAGACAGCCTGAAATGAACACCTACTAGCAAATCAGTTTTCCAGTGTTTGTATTTATTATTTTTACCCCTTTATTCCTAGATTGAAAAAGAAAAAACAGGCCAAACAAAATGCAGAGATGGCCTCAGTGACAGCTACGCGGAGCCATACTGGAAAAGAAGATGCCGATACAGTCATTTTAGAACAAGACAAGTGCAACATCACTGTGGAGCAGGAGGAATATAGTACTGATGAGAAAAAGAAGAGAAAAAATAATCAGTTAAAGGAGATCAGACGTACAGAATTAAAGAGATTCTATAGTGTTGGTGAGTATTATTGGCAGTAACTGCAGCATTTTATTTTAAAATCTAAAGAGTTTTAAAACATAATTTTCAAATGATCATAATAGTAATAATAACACATGTTTTGAATAATTTCTATGTGTCTTAGGCACTTGCTTTGTCTACCATCTTGTGCACAGGGATGACAATGGAATAAATGTGTTGGTGTGTTTTGTTCTCAACATCTAGCACTGTGTTTAGTACATCCTGTGTGCCAGTAAACACTTGTAAAATGCATAAGCACTTTCCTTGTATGAGAAATAATTTTTCTTAATATATGTAGAAATATCCATCAAAGTGTTAATAGAAGTGCCCCAGCTTTTTGGAATACACTAAGCAATAAAAAATAAAGAAGGCATGGCCTAGCATACATCAATTTAAAAAAAGAGATTTGTGAGTCTTAGTTAAATGGAGTCTTAAAACGAATTCACAGTTTTGTATGTTTTCTCCCAACGCCATTGCATTCTGAAACCTCATGTCTAGAAATGGCGTATTTTAAATGGAGGAAGTGATAAATGTTGCCTCACTGGGCTTTTCCATCTCATGCTGTAGTTTCTGTCACACACAAACATGGAATGTATTGAGAAAGGATTGCAAAGTAAGGGTGGTGATGGTTGTTAAGTGCTGTCGAGTCAATCCCAACTCATAGTGACTCTGTGTAGGGTTTCCAAGGAGCAGCTGGTGGGTTTGAACTGCCAACCTTGTGGCTTACAGTCAGTGCTAATTCTGCAGTGCAACATCAGGAGTCCATGGTGGTGGTAGTGGTTGCTAAGTGCCACCAAGTCGGTTCCTACTTATAATGATCTTATGTGTAACAGAACATAATACTGCCCAGTCCTGTGCCACACTCACAATGGTTGTTATGTTTGAACCCATTGCTGTAGCCACTGTGTCAGTCCATCTCACTGAGAGTCTTCCTCTTTTTCTTTGACCCTCTACCACGGTGTACAGCCTTATCCAGGGATTGGTCCCATCTGATAACATGACCAAAGTACATGAGATGAAGTCTCCTCATCCTTGTTTCTAAGGAACATCCTGGTTGTACTTCTTCCAACACATACTCGTTCATTCTTCTGGTAGTCCTAGTAGTCCAGCAGTCTCTAGATTGTGAACATTGGACTTACGCACATCTCCTGTTGTTGTTGTTAAGTACAGTCAAGTCACTTCTGATTCATAGCCACCCTGTTTAGGGTTTCTGAGGAATGGCTGATGAGTTTGAACCACCAACCTTGTGGTGTTTTATTCCATAGCACCACATTAACCCTTTATTGTTATGTACATTTGCCCTCACTTTGAAACGATTGAACCAACCTCTACTTGAAACCTCTACTTGAAACAATTTTTTTTTTTAATCACAGTCCACCTTCATTTACTGTACATGAAGATTTTAAAGCATTAAAAAAAATGCTGTTTTTAACCTTAAAGTTAGACTAGAGACCTGGTGTGGTGCTTTAGAGTAAGCACTGGACTGAAAGATTGGCGATTGAAACCCACTACCCACTCTTCAGTAACCCTGTACTAGGTCAACATGGGTGGGGGACACAATTTGACGACACTTAAAGCTCTGGTAGCGTAGTGGTTACGAATCAGGCTGCAAACCTCAAGGTCAGCAGTTCAAAACTACCAGCTGCTCCATGGGAGAAAGATGAGACTTTCTGCTCTCATAAAGATTTACAGCCCCGGAAACCCTGTACAGGGTCACTATGGGTCGGAACCGACTCGACGGCACTTAACAACTACAACAACAAAATGACAACAACAAAGTAATGCTAAATAACATTTTACTTACATATTTTTGAAGAACAGATCTCATTCCTAGCCTTGATAAAAACAAAACAAGAAAACCCACTGCCATAGAATAGATTCTGAATTGTAGAGACCCTACATAGAATTCCCAAGATTGTAAATCTTTACAGAAGCAGACAGCCTCGTCATTCTCCCATGGAGCAGCTGGTGGTGTTGAACCACCAACCTTTGGTTAGCAGCCCAATACAGAGCCCACAGCACTGTATTGTATATTCAGTATCCTTTAGAAACATTATAATTAAAATTCATTATTTCTTCTTTTGTGTACTTTATTCGTTGTCTAACTTTCACATGCATTTGAAACAATTAAAATACTGTAGCTTGGGTCACACATCTTGGTCTTTAAAGTGGCATCTTTGCCTTTTAACATTTTTAAAGGTTCTTTTATAGCCAATTTCCCCAATGCAATACCTCGTTTGTTTTCTTGACTGCTGCTTCCATGAGTGCTGATTGTGCATCCAATTAAATTGGAACCCTTGACTACTGGCATTTCTTTCTGTATATCAAGTTGCTTATTGGTACACTTATGAGGATTTGTTTTCTTTATTTTGAGGTGTTATCCATACTACAATATGTAATTTTTATCTTCATCAGTAAGTGCTGAAAATTCTCTTTACTTTTGGCAAGCAAGGTCATGTCATCGGCATATTGCAGGTTATTAATGAGGCTTTCTCCAATCCTGATGCTGTGTTGTTCTTCATATAGTCACACTTCTGGGATTACTTGCTCAGCAAACTGATTTTAAAAGTATGGTGAAAGGGTACAAACCTAATGCACACCGTTCCTGATTTTAAACCACAATATCCTCTTGTTCTGTTCGAATGACTGCCTCTTGGTCTGTATTCAGGTTGTGCATGGCACAATTAAGTGTTCTGGAATCCTCATTCTTCATAGTGCTACCCACAATTTGTTATCATCCTCACAATTGAGTGTCTTTGCATAATGAATCGAACACACTTAACATCTGGTGTTCTCTGATTTTATCTAAAATCCATTTGACATCAGAAAAAGGTAAACTCATTGTTGTCATGTAACTTCCAACTAATAACAACTCTGTAGGACAGAGTAGGGTGTGGTGCTATAGGCTAAGCACTAGACTACTATCCACAAGGTTGGCAGTTCAAAACCAGCAGCTGCTTCTTGAAAATGCTATACAGGATCGTTGTGAGTCAGAACGAACTCAGTTGCACTTAACAACAATTTTTACAGAAGTAGACTGTCACTTCTTTCTTCCATGAGTGACTAGTGGGTTTCAACTACCAGCCTTTTGGTTAGCAGCTGGGCACTTAACCCTTGTGCCATTAGGACTCTGGCAAAGAGAACCAGCAATCAAAACTTGATTGTGACCTACAGCTGCAACATACAGGATTGCTAGGCGAAGGGAAAGAAGAAGAGCAGTATATAAAATGTGGGCTTGGAGCAAAATAATGACACTTATCCCTTTGACCCTGATTATGCCAAAGTTACAGCAGGATAGTTTTTTTTTTTTTTTTTGTCCCTGGTGTTTGGTAGCACTTTCCAGCAGCTCTTTCCAAAGACATATGACACTGCCTTTGGGGTGGTAATGGGTGCTTCATTGCTGATACTCCTCCAAGAGAGACAAATTCAGTATTTTACTAGTTTCTAAGAAATCATACAATTTAAATCATTTTAGTGGGTTAATATGATTATTATCTAATGTATTTTTATGTAGCTTAGTGGATTTAAAAAACCAATAATTTATTGAGATGAAATTCAATAACATAAAATTTACCATTTTAAAGTGAGCAGTTCAATATCATTTTAAGTCTACTAACAGTGTTGTGCAACCACTATATCTAGCCCCAAAACATCTCATGATTTCCAAGTAAATGCCCTCATCCACTGTACTGTTTCTCCCCAATTATCCCTACCACATTGATTGTTTTGTTTTAGGTGCCATTGAGTCTGCCCCTATCCTGTAGCGGTAATGGTAACTGAACTGGAGCTATGTCCTCAGGAGAATCCAGTGCGTAGATAAATCTATTGAATTCCAGGGCTTAATGATGCTCTCTACATCTTAATTTACCTTAAAATGTGAATGTATCATTAAGTATCCTAATTTATCTCACAGGGTTTGATCTGATACATCAGATTCTCATCCCAGGGTGGTGTTTCAACCACTAGGTGGAGCATCAGACATCAAGTCAAGAGTAATTCCAGTTCCAGTTCATGGCGTCTTTCCATTACTCTAGTGTGGAGAGAAAAGAAAATGCTAAATGAAGGAGGAGCTTGTCAGCCATCCTAAAGATTGGCCTTTATTCTGTAGTAAGTAGGGAACTCTTGGGAGAGAGATTTTAAAATGGTGAATCTAGAGAGCAATGAGGATGGATGTGAGAGGACTGAGTGTAAAGGCAAACAGTGCTGGTCAGTTAGTGGAACAGAGCTTTCAGGTGTAGGACTGAGCCTAAGCAGAAGCCAAGGGGAAGGGGAAAGGGCACATGGAGGAGAGATATTCCTCATAGAAAAAGCAGCACTTGGTAACCATTGTAGTGTTTGAAGGCAAAAAACAACAGCCAAGAATTGACTAGAGAAATCAAAAAGGAGGAAGGAATATAATGAATTTGTGTTTGGATTTAATAGCTAATTTTGAAAACTAAATCAAGACACATTATTACTGGGATGGTTAATCTTTATTTAGCAACTTTGCTTTGTCAAATGCTAGTCTGTATATTATTATGAAGTATTGAAATGTGATTAACATCTAAATCAGTTGGCCTTAAAGCTATTAAATTAGTGAAATTTGACACAAACATGCTTGACTATCTATAAATGTATGAAGAGATGTTCGTTTCTTATTACTGAATCAAAATATATTAAATTGGTATGAATTGTATCATAAAATACTTTTATATTAAAGGAATACATTATTCCTTAAGCTTAGAACAGTACACATACTTATTTTTAAGAGCATGAAGATAGAAATATGAATTTTATAAATATGGATGATATCTCAGTGTAGTGATCAGCATTGGACTGCAAACCACAACATCGGCAGTAAACCGACCATTTGCTCCTTATCTTCTGTCAAAACAGGGCATGGACAGACTCTGGAACAGACTATCATATGCAGGCTCAGGCTGAAGCTCAAGAAAATTAACACAAGTCCAAAAAAACAAATTATGACCTTGAACATATCCTACCTGAATTAGAGATCATCT